GGGGGGGGGGGGGCGTGTGTGTGTGTGTGCACGCACTTAATGATTCTTTGTCAAAATTATTTATAATATTTTACCTCTTTGTTTTTGGGGTGGGTGGAAATAATAGCTATTTGCTTTGGATAAATGTTGAAGACAACTGACCTTGCATACATTTGCAGCAACGTTGCGCTGCAAGTCTAAATCACACCAATGTAAAAGCTATTTCAGTTTTCTCTCCGAGAAAAATTATTCAGCGTTATTCTTCACCGACTTCGGTTTTGATTACATTTCTCATCATTCCTTATCAATTAGTTTACTTCATATCAATGTCATTTTTTTAAGCAGCTGTATGAAAAGGATTTATTTAGGAAGGAGGAGCTAATAAAAGGGATTAATAAGGGGGTCCTGCGAGTGAAGGAGCTTGATACTTAATGCTGATGTGTAAATGGTATTCCTTTCCCCTTTTTCTTCTCAGGTGGATCACCTTACTTAGCAACAAAAATCAATGAAGCAAAGGACTTGTTGGAATCCACTGCCAAAAACTGAAGTCCGAAGCCTTGGGTCATAAGAGATTCAGAAGATACATCATGCAACGGTTTTGATGTTCACTCTGCACAATTTCTTAAAGCTGCATTGATTATTCCTATTTATTGTCATAATTAATTTTTTTTAAGATTATTTAAAAGCAAACTGAAATATTTTACAGTTATGTAAAGCTATGTACATTTAGGCTCCTTCGAGGAGCAGGGAGTTGGACTAGATGATCCTTATGGTCCCTTCAAACTCAAGATTTTCTATGTATCAATTTCAGTACATTTTTACTGAATTGTGATCCATTACAGGCTTTGAAAATGTTCTACTGTCTGTGTCTTTTCTTCAGAAATAGTTGCTTCTTTCATTAAACTTCTGGAACTTTTTGCAATTAAAAAAATAGTCTTCAAAATAGGTTTTTTTTTCTTCATTGATGAAGACTTGACCATTGCCAGAAAATCTGGGACAATGTGTTGAGTCACAGGAAGTATGGTAGAGCTCTTATGGCAAGTTTTCCACATAACCTTGCACTTGAGTTTGTTCATTTGTGAAATAGCAGATCTTATTCCTGGGTGCAGTTTGAGAGGTGCAACTCAGAACAAAATGACAAACAGGACTGCAGACTGCAGTTTCCATCTGTGGGGCTTGGAAATACAAAGGAAGAGTCTTGAGTATTGGTTAGTTCTTTTGCATTTTAAAAGATCTCTGAAATTGTCTACATTTACCCTGTAGCAGCTGGGGCAGTGCAGAGGTTCTCATGGAAGTGGAACTGAAGGAGGTAGGTCCATGTGGCATGGAGTTTGTAGGCTTTCGGCTCTGGGTGGGCTTAGTGGGTTAGTTCTCCAGTAATTCTCACATCTGTTTCCCAAAGTATCATACAAACCTCCTTACGTAGCACCTTAGCAACCTAATGCTGGCTTTGGGAAATGCTGAAGCCATGGATCTCTGATTTAATTGACAGCTGAGAGATGCTATTTTGGGGCACTTGGCTGTTGCAAATTCCTACCAGTGAGTTGGCTGCAGATGAATTATCTCTCCTAAAAGGATGGTGATGAGATGAGACAGTCTAGTGGATTCAAGACAGAGAAACTTTCTGGTATCCCTTCAAACTCGCATTATTTGAGGTACAACAAACAACAATCCCATTTCCTAGGTTATTTAGCCAGAGGAAAGTGGCTAAGAGCAGTTAAATAATTAAAGTATCCCAACTTTATATTATGCACCACGTGCATTTGTCTGTTCATACAGTGGTGGGTGTCCAGATTATATGGATTTTTGCTTGAAAGGAAGAAAGACTATAAATTTATTATTTTTTTTTTTTAAATTGGCTTCCTCGCATTTTGTCAAAGTTCCATTACTTTCATTAAAGATGGATGAAAAAGGTTTAAGTTGACCTTGAAAGAAAATACTAACTTTAGGTATTTAGAGACTTCTTGACAATTAGAGTGGCAGGAAATGGGACACAACTTGACTGGATAAAGTAAAAAGGCTGCAGGGAAAAACCTGCCTGGGAACGGGCATAGGCTGTACGAGTACTACACCTGCAACATTTAACTGATGCTCTAATACAAGAAACTTTAAGTTGGACTTTAGCCTTAACTATGTTTTATTAAAGGAGTAGCCAGCAATTAATGCACATTTAGGGTTAGTTATTCCTTTCCCTGGTATATCAGTATGTATTAGCAAAAAAAAAAACAAAACCCAAACCACTAAGGTTTTCATTTTGGGAGCAGAGAAGTGAGATGTGGGGTTGGTTGGTCCTCATTTTCTGAAGTGGAGTCTGGTAAGTGATCTGAGTCATTGTTCAAAAGCAAAATTGCTGCCTATGGTAGGTAGCCAAACCTTACTCAGTAATGATTTTCAACTGACTCCCTGTTGTTTTCATATTATTTCCCCCACACCCCCTTTTTTTTTTTTTTGAGTAAAATGAGGCATAAAGAGCTATTCTAAAGTATCAGTTGAAATAAAAGCATTAAGGATGGCTGCTTGTTCTGGTCTTGAAAATTAACTTCCCATGTCTTTGTAGGAAGTGCAGGTTTTATTTTTATGAGATTGTGTTGTTGATAATTTTCTTCCTGATCTGATTATTTATATCTGATTATTTTGGACGAGGCATTTTTCTGGCTTTCAGGTTTAAGAGAGATTGTCCCTCTTAATAAAAATAAATAAGACCAAGTTCAAGTTCTGGTTTCTCCTTCTTTTCAGAGCAGGCTACCGAGCAATTAACAAATTTGACAAATTAGCAAATTAAAAAATTCAACAAATTAACTTTGGCTGGCGTGTCACTGGAAAATGCTGTCAAATTAGTGGAGCTAATGAATAGTGGTTGCGAAAGCGTCGTCGTTGTGTGTCCGGTGCCGTAACGTCACACGTACAATAGCATAAGCACGTATCTGTGGAAGCAACTGATTTTTCTCATCTGTTTACTGGTAAAACTGGCTTTAACTACTAAGTGATGTTTGGGAGGGTGACGATAGGATGGTGAAAGGAAAGGTGTAGTCAAGCAAATGGTGTAAATACTGCTCAGTTTACTGTTGCGCCTTAAGTGATGTCTTTGGAGGGTGCCCTCCAGAGCAGCACCTGGTTTGGTGCTGGACAAAGAAGAATGGAGTACTGCTTTTTTTTTTTTTTTTTTTTTTTTTTTATTTATATTTTCAAAAAAAAACCAGGGGAGGTTCAGGCTGGATATTAGGAAAAATTTTTTCACTGAAAGGGTTATAAGACATTGGAATGGGCTGCCCAGGGAGGTGGTTGAGGCACCATCCCTGGAGATGTTCAAAAGACGGGTTGATGAAGTGCTGGGAGGTATGGTTTAGTGATGATGCTCCTTGTTTGTTGTGTGGGTGTCTATTTTTGTCAGTTAGGTTGACGGTTGGACAAGATGATCTTTAAGGTCCCTTCCAACCTAGAAGATTCTGTGATTCTGTTAGTTTACCTTTATAAACATTCAGCCTCTTGAGACTTATTTTCTTTACTTGTCAGATTCATAAGATTTTGTGTAAAAAAAAAAAAAAAAAAATATATATATATATATATATATGTCCAAAACCAACAAAAAACAACCCAACAACCAACCAACTGCATAGCGATTCCGGTGCAGTTTCTGTCCATACATAACACCAGCAAAAAGCAATCTCATTTTTGTGTGTGTGTGAGTGCATGTGCTTTAATGTTCAGAAAGTGTTCATCCATAACTTCTCAGCTGGAGAATTCCCAGGTAGTTTCCTACTCACCTGGTACCCAGGCCCAGGGATATAACTCTGTAACTTGAAAATCAGGCAGGAGTGGGTGCTGTGGGCGATTCCCAGTTTACTTAATGGAGCACAGCTCACTCCTCTGCCTGCTTTGTGCTCTTGGGCTGTGGGATTTTCCTCTGGAATGCCGTTCTTTGCCCTTGCCGCGGCAGATTTCGGGCACAGATAGGTCTAAAAAAAGGCTTGGTGAAATCTGGTTATCTGCCTGCGTGAGTACAACTTGCGAAACATTTGGTCACCTAAAATGGGACCTGGGTAGAATTGAGACACAGAAGGGCAAGGGTACGATTCACAAAAAAAGCTTTGTCTGTTTTAAAGGGAAAATTTTACTCTCCTATACACTTATATGGGGAGAGACTATATGAGGGTGTGTAGTGATAGGGCATGGGATAACGGTTTTAAACTGAAAGAGAGTTTAGATTAGATCTCAGGAAGAAATTCTTTACTGTGAGGGTGGTGAGACACTGGAACAGGTTGTCCAAAGAAGTTGTGGATTCCCCATCCCTGGAAGTGTCCAAGGCCAGGCTGGATGGGCCTTTGAGCAACCTGCTCTGGTGGGAGGTGTCCCTGCCCATGGCAGGGGGGTAGAACTCGATGATCTTTAGGGTGCCTTCCAACTCCAACCATTCTATGATTTCTGCTTCTGCGTGGGTGTAAAACTGCTTCCTTCTTGCCAGGTCTTTGCTCGGTTTAACACTTTTCTCATCCTTAAATCCCCAGATTTAAGCCTGGTGGCTTAAGTTCCCTGAAAAGCCTGATCCGTTAGCTGTGGTTGTAGGGTGCCTCATCAGCCTTGCTGTGAAGATCCTTGCATCTGTCCTGGTACCCAAATGAGGCTGGTGATGACGCTGGGCTGAGGAGGTGATGGCACTTGCCCCGATTCTTGCTGAGGTTGTGCCTCGCTGCAGAATGGAAGGTTCATCAAGCCTGCAAGGGCCAGAGCACTGAGTTCTGGTCCCCACTTCTGGGTCATGAAATGGTGTCAAATCAACTTAAAGTTCACCATCAAAAGTAATGATAACTTCTTTAGAAGCATTGCTTCCCACATGTTGGTCTTTGGGGTTTTTCCTTTAATTGATGCTCTTCTATGAGCATCTGTATGTCCGTCTCTCTGTCCCTGACAAGCAGCACAGTAGACTGGCACTAAATTGCCAGCTACAGCTTCCAGAATTTTTCAGTTGAATGGTGATAAAATTGACATTTTCCTTGGTTCATCAACGGTAGCTTTTGGCATGTAGGTTGCTAAGACATATTTGTGAATTGGCACCATCAGTGATGCCAGCACAGTCTCAGGACTTTTGTGCTTTGTTGTTTCAACAATTGCTCTCAAGCAACAGAATGTGTGTGTATGTATATTTATGTACGAGCACACGTGTTTATACACGTGCACACTGCTTTTGGGGATCCTATGAGGAATTTTGCATCTGTACCTGGGCACACTTTTAAAATAACATTTTTCTTTATTTTTTTTACTTTAGTAATAGTTTTCCAAATCAGCTTATTACAATTTGAGAGTGAGAAAGACACTCATCTTCATGGACATATGCAATTTCTGGCATACTTCTCATTCTTTTGAAGACAGAAAAAATAATGCCAAAGTAAATTACAGATCCTAATTTAATCGTTACTGCATAAATAGGAAGCCAGTTCAAAAAAAAAAACACAAAACAACAAAGCAACAACAAACAGCACACACCATCCAAGCATTTCCAATTACGTTCTTTATTGAGTTTCTTTATACCCAGTTTTGCTCTTGTATGGATACATAAAATGTAGTTACAAGTCTTTTAAAGAAACTGTGGCACTGTATTTCTGCCATAGTCATACTGTATTGATACAAGGTATTTTTTTGCAGATCCATGTTCCCAACTTTTTTTTTTTTTAAATGGGGAGAATATAAAACTTTGTGGAAAATGAAAACATGCTGGATCTTCTTGGGATGTTTCCCAAATAACATTATCTATTTGCAAATTATTAAAATGTCAGCTACATTTAAAATATGCTTTTGTATTTTGCTTTTTCCTGTTTTGTAAGTTTATTTACTTGTTTGGAGCACTGAGTAGGAGGGAGGGCATTTTAGATCGTTATTTGATGCCTTACTGACTGTTGGTGATCCATGAATCATGGGGTGAAAACTCCTCTCATGAATAACTTGAAT